TGAGGCAATTCTGAAGGCAAAAGGGGATCCAACCCGTTACTAGCATGGGGTACCTAATAAAGTGGCCGGTGAGTGTATGTGAACATTAATTTTTAGGCCAGGTCACTGAAATTGTATTAAGTTCTATTCTTTGACTAGGCCATTCTAACACATGAATATGCTTTAATTGACATTATTGAAGTTTGTTTTATATCGTTGCTGCTGGAAGGTAAAGCTCGGCTATTTTTTAAAGCCTCGTGGAGAATGTAATAGGTCCTCTAGTCATCTACTTGAACCAACTTCTCTTTTTATTAAATTTCCAATGTAATTACATACAGGTGGAGTCTGTTTACTAATGCCAGAATGCTGTGTATTTCACTGGAATTAGTTTGGTGCTACAGTAAAGGGGACAGAAAACAAATACATACCTTTAGAATTTCAGTTTTATTTTATTTCAAAAAGACAACATATTCATATTATTCCCTCATTTGTGTTGGTCCATCACATAATCTTAATAAAATTCTTAAAAGTTTGTGGTTTTATTTTGACAAAATATGAAAAATTAAAGATTTTATAGAGAAGGTGTCCCTGTAAATTAGGGTTTGGTCCTTCTCTTCCTACTACACACTATCTTAGTACTTTACCCACAATCTCTGCAGGCATTTCCCACACTGGACCCTGATGAAGTGGCATATGAGCCTCGAAGCTCACGGTTGCTGGTGCGTGGCCTGGGAGAAAACGACATGGACGACGATGAAGAGGACTGCGAATCTTCTGCGCGTCTCCTGGGAATGTCTTTCATGAACCGGAGCTCTTCTCACAGATCCAACTCATCTCCTTACATCAGGCAGTCTCCACCGAGGTAAAACTCAACAATGTTGATCTCTTGTTGATGTTTTCAGATGTTCCAGAATTATTTTCTTATGTTCCAATGAAAGAAATTTTAGAGCTCAACTTGCCAATAACCAGATTTTTTTCCCCTTAGACCTATATACAGACTGTGTTTTCTTCCTCCTAAAGCCATTCGGCTAATTATTTCTGAAAATTAAAAAAAAAAACATCCACAGCATTGGTATTTTTACTTCAGTGTCTCTCTGGTTGCAGAGTCATGAATGTGATCTTATGGCGCAGCAAGATTAAACCTCACTTTTGTCATAAAAACAGGGCTTTTTGTCTCACTCTCTGGACCCCCATATAGTGGATTGGCTGATGTTTGATATTTAGCCTATACCAGTCTGTACCATTAACATGCCGATTATATAGTACTGCTTATTTGTAATGTGTCCAACTTCCAAGATGGTAGTTTTTAAGTTTTCTCTTCTCTTAAAGAACTATAATATAAGATGATAAAAGAAAAGCATTTGAAATATCTTTAACCTTTCTGCTGTGAGAAATTAATGTTAATACCAGGAGCACAGGTTATCGAACACCATGTGTGGATCAGGAATCAGTTTACTGTTCATTTAAAGGAGAGAGAATGATTTTGAAGTCTATAATATCATGAATTAGAAATTATTGTGATTATATATTTAGAGGTTTTAAATCCTTTTCTAATCTGAGAATTCCAAAAGATTGCCTACAGATCTCAGTCCAGTTAATTACAATATAAAGGCTGAAAACTTAGTAAAGTAAAAATTAGACAACTGCTGCTAAGCTGCATTCATTCTTTCTTGGAATCTAAATGAATCATTGATGTCTCAGCATATCGTAGAAGATAATTTCCTTTTAGCTTCTTGCATTAAATAAGCAATTAAGCTACAAATGGCCAAATTCTAGTCAAAAGACAATTTCTCTGTGTGTTTTTGGTGATGATATCTGATTATGAAGGAGTAGATTCTGATATTATTTGTAAAGTGCACATCTTTGTTTTGGAAACTATTTCCTTTAGATTGGTAAGGGTAGCTGTTATTTACCTTAAAAGCAGTTATAGATTTGTCCATTACTCGTTTAATTTCCATTGTATTCGACAAAAATTGACAAATTTGCACGTATAATTGAAAATGTGATTAAAAAAAAATTTTTTGTTTGTTTTAGCAGTTGGCTGTTATGGGTGTTAAAGTGCTGCGTTAACGCCAGACTAATCTATTCTCAAAATTGGGTTGGGAGCAGGATCTGTAATGATGACTTGATATAGTAGCGTGTTTGCCAGCAAGTTATTAATGCAGTAATAAGGTATAGCGGTGACAATCTTTGTTTATACGACACAAAAAACTGGAAATGCTTGTTCCTTTATATCCAACTGGGGAAACATTCTTCCAATGGTGCCAATGTTAACACCTACAGGTGCAACCTCCAGAACATAATGTTAGCTTAGGATGAACAGACTATCAACATAAACAACCCTCTTTAACACAAAACTAGGACACAATTATAATGTTTTCCCCATTTTGATATTACCCAGCAGCCCTTGTGGCTACTCCAGCATCACAAGACTGCCTGAGTGAAAACACCAAAGAGTTGTACTTCTTAATAAGATGAGATATAAGATAAGATTATATGCTTTATTTGTCAAATATACATACAGGTTACATAAAACAAAATTATATAGATCAGATGAAGGTTTAGCCAGAGCCGCTGTGACTGAATGAGCTACTAATGGCTGACCTTCCCAACTTGTCTTTTTTTTTTTTATCTGGCTCCTGGGCATTTGTTTATTTAGAAACAGACATTCTGAAAGGGCCTTTATTTAATAAAGTTTGGTCTCAGAACAGGGATTTAAGTTGGCTAAACCTTCATCAGTAGCTGTCAGGTTTGTAAGTGCACTGATCACGTGTTTCTTAGCTAAAGCATACCTGTCTGTTTAGTTTGTTTCTTTCAGGAAGCTCCAATAAATTGCATCACATTTTAAGCTGTTGTTCTACTCACCAGAAATGATGGGACTTCTTAGTTTTGAATCATTTATTCATTATTTTTCAACATTTGATATGTCAGTCATCAATCAGAGCTGCATGGATTTATTAATGAGTCTTTAGTGATGAAGCACAGTAGGTTTAATTTATAGTATAAATATTTAAAAGTGCTAAACATTAGAACATAAAATATAAATGCAAAGGGAAATGTGAAAATGTGACAACCCTGCTGTCTGGTTCTCGTTCAGTCAAACCTGCTCTAAAAAAAGTATTGTTAGCTGTTTTTTTATTTATTTATAGCGAATAAGTGCAGCATGAGGAAGGAGGTCCATGTCAGGTACATCTTTAAAATACCTCCCACCATTTGTTGAAAATAAGTCTGAGGTTCTGAGGGGTGATGAAGAATTAGAAGGTCATTAATCTATGCTGGAGCTAGACCACCCAAAGATGGAGAAGTGAGGAAAACACAGAAATGCATGAAAATTAGCAGGGAACCAGATTTAAAATGCTTAAACAAAGGCGTTATGTGTTCTATAAAGGAATTATCAAGAAGCAGGTAAGTTATTAGCTTAACATTTATTTGTTGTATTTTACTTTAGTCCTAAACTAAATACTCTTAAAGGTCCCAAAAAATATTTTCTTCTTATAAATGAAACCCTGTTTTACTATGAAAAAAAATTGTTTTGACATTCACTTGGATATTAGTTGATTTTTAAGACTAATTTTGACCTTTTTTTTCGTTCTTAGGACTTGTTCACGACCTTCAGCTCGAACCATGGTTGTATGTGTGTTGGTTTTAGTGATAGTAGCTTCGTTGGCAATGGTGCTGTACTTCTTACCTGGCTGCACCTTTACCAGGGTAGGAAAAAAATGTTGATATTCTTTTTTTCTTTTATTTCTTGCTCCATCACTCTACACCTCTCTGGTTTACTCCCTAACCCTGTCTTTCTACAGGACGGCTGTCCTAAGGCCAATAAGACCGCACCTCTTGAGCCAGTCTACCCTAATTCCACCAACGGTGAACTGTTTCCATGGGCCGAACTCCGACTGCCTCGCAGCATCCGACCACTCAGCTATGAGCTCACCTTGACCCCCAACCTCGACAACATGACCTTTACTGGCATAGCTGTCATTGAAATGTCTGTATCTCACAACACAAAGCGAATTGTGCTCCATGCTGCTAATCTCAACATTACCAAAGCTACGTTTAAGGTCAGATGAAAGAAGATCAGCTAAATCATTATACCTTGCTCCATTTCTTGTTGCTTATTGGACCTGTCCTCTGTTCCAGCTCGGGGACGGGGGGGCCCAGGATGTGACTGTGTTGGAGTACAAACCCAGGCAGCAGATTGCTGTTAAGTTCTCAGAAGAGCTAAAAACAGGACAGCACTGTGTTTTAACCTTTGATTACTCAGCTAACCTCTCACACACCTATGATGGTTTCTACAACAGCTCGTACACTGATAAAGATGGAAACAAAAGGTACATTTTCATAAAATGTTTTTTCTTAACCCTGTGTACCGAAGGCAATTTGCAGCCAAATTTTCCACCCCTTAATGGGGCCATAATGAAAGAAACAATGTGAAGAAAGCAATTAAAAACAAAATGTTTAACTATTTTTACTGATTTAAAAACATCTGCCTAATAACCCTCATCTTTTATCATAGAGTTCTGGCAGCAACACAGTTTGAACCACTGTCAGCCAGAAAGGCCTTCCCCTGTTTTGATGAGCCGTCTTTCAAAGCTACTTTCCTGATAAGAATCAATAGAAAACCAACCTACATGACTCTTTCCAACATGCCTCAGGTATTTTTTCTATTTTTGTTATAAACTATATAAAGTGCAGATATTATGTTACATGTATTGTATGTATGTGTGAAGTGGCAACCTAGTGGTCAGGGCAAAGAGCTTGGAATCCTGAGTTTCTGAGTTTGAGCACCACTCCCATGGACTGCCACTCTGGGTCCCTGAGCAAGACCCTTAACCCCACACTGCTCCCTGGGTGCCGCACAATGGCAGCCCACTGGTCCCAAAGGGGATGGGTTAAATGCAGAGTGTTCATTTTGTTGCTCTGTACTTGTGACAGTGTAATGACAATAAAGAAGCTGGAAAAAAATATGTACAATTGTTTCACACCTTAATGCTGGGGGGGGGAAAAAACAACTATAGGATTGTTTTTCTTTCAACGCTTATGAAGGTCACCGTCTTTGATTTGACAACCAAATTCTGGACGATCTGAGTCATAATTGCAAATACTTGTTCCCAACAGCCAATGAGAAGCAGAGGCTTTAACACTGTTAAAACTAAGCAATTTTTATTCTTTTGAAAAACCTTGTGTTAATAAAAATAATATACTCTTCGACATAACACAGTTTAACAAATTACAGTACAGTCTGAGATAAGGAAGATTATATAGTGATAAAATGTGAAAAATAGAGAACACACTCAAAGATAAGTCAAAATAAATAGTGAAGAGCGTTATTAACATAAGCTTAACTAGAATGCACAGAAAGTCACATTCAATCAAATGTCTTTGAAATTTCAACCAAATTCTGGAGGATCTGGGTCATAATTTATGTTGAAATAAAATAAAGAGTGACATCTATGAACAAAGTATTTTCAATTAAATTTAGGTTGATTTGTGTTGTTTCCTCTGGCCACGTAGAAATGATAAAATGTTTAAGAACAAAGCAAAAACTTAAAATGATCTCTCATAACTGCCTCTGAAAACCTTAAAGCATATGAAGAAAAAAACTATTAAAAATAAAATAATTTTCTCATATTTAATTGTGGAATAAAAGCAAGTCACTTATTTTAGACAGGAGTGGAAAAGAAAATAGTCTGAATCCTGATATTATGCTCTGTTACCGCCACCTGCTGGTATGTTTATGTACCCAGACTAACAGCCCATTGTTGTCTATGTTCTTTGTTTGTTTGACTAAACTTTGATTAAAAAATGTAGTCTTTTGTAATAATTAGAAACATATTATTTGCATCTAAAATTATTCACAGCTGGAAAATTTTCCATATTTAGTAATGAAACAGGCTTATTCTAAATGGTACTATGTTAATCTCTCTCCTAAAAGGTCAACACAGTATACCCCATTTTAACTGTATGAACATTTTTTAGACTGTTATAGCTTACACTATTTATTATGGTTACATTAACTAGACAGGTTCTATTTATGTTTATACTAAAGGACTTTGACCTAATGAGATCTGTGGCTTCTTATGCCGTCAAACTGTTTTTATGTGCTGTCTTCCGTATTTTTAAAGCCAACCTGTTTTTAACATGCAGGATAAGCTTGTAGGGATATAATTCCTGCTTTCTGTGTTTCAGGCCAAAACCACGCCTCTCCGCAATGGCCTTGTGCAGGATGAGTTTGAGAAGACCAATGTCAACATGAGCACTTATCTGGTGGCATTCGTCGTTGCTAACTTCACTTCTGTCAGCAGCACTGCTTCAGGAACAAAGGCATGTTTACAAAAAGACATTGTTTACTGTCAGTTCAGGCCGTAATAATTAATAATTTATAAACTGTGTAATTTATAAACATTTCGTTGGTTTGGGGATTTCAGTTTGTATTTATGATGTTTATACTCCTCTGTTGGTTTAAGGTTTCTGTATATGCTGTGCCAGAAAAGAAGGAGCAGACTGACTTTGCTTTGGCTGCAGCTTCCAAACTGCTGCAGTTTTATAATGAATTCTTTGAGATTAAATATCCGCTGAAGAAACTAGGTGAGCAGAACCCAACACTTGCATAATGTGTCCCTTATTACGCCTCTCTTGGTTATTATCATGTCCCCTTTGCACACATTTATTCTTAATTTATCTTTTGTCAGATTTGGTGGCCATTCCTGACTTCCTGGCAGGAGCCATGGAGAACTGGGGGCTTGTCACTTTTAGGGAGACCACCTTACTGTTAGACAACAGTTCTTCCTCTCTCGAGAAACAAGTGGTAGCCTCTGTAATAGCTCATGAGCTGGCTCATCAGGTAGTTACTTTTATTTATGGACTCCTCTATGTAAGAAGGAGTGACTGTGATTCTGTTCATCTTTCTGACCTATGTCTGTGTTGCAGTGGTTTGGAAACTTGGTAACCATGAGCTGGTGGAATGACCTGTGGCTCAACGAGGGCTTCGCCACCTACATGGAGTATATGTCACTGCAGGAAATAATGCCCGACCTCGACACTGTAAGTTTGAATCAGGATTTCTTTGATGGCAGATGCATTTTTGTTCCTTTTTAACATCTTGTTTGTATTTTTTTTTTCTTTCTTTTTTTTTGCAGGGCAATTTATTCCTTTCTATGCGATTCAGAGCCATGGACAAAGATGCACTAAACTCCTCCCACCCTGTGTCAGCAGAGGTTAACACCCCTGAACAAGTGGAAGAAATGTTTGACTCCGTCTCCTACGAAAAGGTACTGTTTTAATTTTTATATACAATGCAATGCAAATGTATATGGCTGATCCTCTTTCTTTAGATTTTGATTCAAGGATAGTTTAACTTTCTGTTTTCCTGTACAACTGCCCTGATGGATAATTGCAGTTTTCGTTGCTTATTTACTTTAAACTGACGGAATTTGCACATATGCTCCATTCAGTACCTTATAATTTCCCAAGATACAAACTTTGTTAAGATTTCTGACTCTGACCTATGAATTTGGCATAAAATTGCTCTAATTAGAGCTGGTATTAAACTGTATCCAGGCAGATTCCTTTAAAATCAGACCATGAATAAGTCACAACTATTTACAACTGGCAGAAAAGCTCGTTCATAGGTACCATTATTGGCAGATAAACTCAGTCCTGGTGGGGTGCCGTCAACAATAAGAGCATCAACAGATGTGCTGATGTCTCTGTTACATAATAGATATACTCACCCACCTGAACTGTGTTATTATTTCAACTTTCAATACTTCAGATTTCTCTAAATTAAATATTTGGGATTCATTTGCTAGAGCGATCTTTATAAGCCAAATTATGTGCCTAAAAAATATGTATGGAAGATTAGGAGGAAAGTAAATAATGTATTACCGTAAATTCTCTAATATAGGCCCGGGCCTTTATTTCACTCAAGTGCATCGCGGTCCAGGCCTTTATTGGATAGAGGCCAGAATTAGAGACAGGCCTCTATTGCTATTTGAGCAAAACAGACTACCAGTGGAATGAATAAAAATGAGATTTTGTGTCTATTTGAACCTATAAAACACTAGGTTCATTTATTGAAAAAGTACAGTTACCATGTCTCGCTTGGTTTGAAGTAAAAAAAAAAATCCTCCAATTCTGTTTAATTCTCCTCCTCAGTTTTTCTCCTCCTCTTCATCTCTCCCTTTAATCTCCTCATCACTCACGCTCCTCCTGTTCTGCTGCGTGTCTGTTCTCTTCCTCGCGCAGACGGGCAGCAGTCAGGGCCTGTCGGCTGTCGTCCAGCAGCGCAGGGCTGTGGTACTTGTATGTTACTTACTACCACAAGTATAATGTTGAGGTATGCCCAGAAAAAACGTTTATAGCCCCGGCCTGTATTAGAGACCGGCCATTATTTACCTCCTCTGACAGCGAGACCGGCCATTATTAGAGACCCGGCCGCTATTGGAATACAGGCCAATATTAGAGAATTTACGGTATGTCAGAAAACTTGGTGCAAACAAAACACAAATGATTTTAGCCCTTAAAGCTCTGCTGCTTGCTGGTTTTAACAGATTAAAACTGCCTTTCATGGAGGAAGAATTCAGCATGAAACTATTAAAAGCTGGGTACCAGAAAAAGAGTTTGTTTTCCCTAACTCCACATCAGCGTCTGGCCTATAGTGTGTTAGCACCATTAATCACCAGGCAGGACCATTGTGCACCAAGTGAGCTTAATGTGCTCATATTCATCTGAAATAGGTGTTTCAGAAAAGAACAATCCAAAATGTTGAATGAAATAAATGCATCGACAGAATTTGATACTTTTTAGACTCTGTGTTAGATCCATAGGAAGATATCGGATTTTGTTTTCTAGGATAAATGATTTGTGTTCTTTAGCCCTTTAGTCCATCCCTGAAAGTACTGCTTGTCTTTGGCTCTCCATTTAAAACATCTTGATAAACCTAACGATAGTAAAACAGTATCATGAGCTTATATTTACTTTTCAAGAAAGAGTTTTTAGCAGAATGTCTGGCACACTGTAAAAGACAGATTGATTGGCCATGCACCTACTGTACGCTGTACGTCTACTGGTTGTTAAGTGCACGTTGGTTAATAAAGCTGTGTTCGTCAAGCTGCAAACGTGGTCGTCAGGAAGATTCTTTATCAAATATTGCCGTTTATGACATGGTGTCAGGAGTGGCCGACAGGACGCCTACTGAGTGAGTTATGGCAAAGTTCGGATCGCCGGAAACCTTTGATTTCTCCCGTCCGGAGGACTGGCCGATGTGGTCCCGCCGCTTCGACCGCTTCAGAGTAGCAGCGAAGCTGGACAAGGAGAGCGGGGAAGTACAAGTTAACACGCTCCTTTACGCCCTGGGAAGAGAGGCAGAGGCTATTTATGACTCTTTCGTGTACGAGAGGCAAACTGATGAAGCGGTGGCAGACGAAGAAGCAGCAGAAGCTCATCCCGAGCTGGACTATATGACGGTAATGGCGAAATTCGGCGACCATTTCGTGCCTAAACGGAACGTCATCCATGACAGAGCTTGCTTCCATAAGAGAGTGCAGAAAGCCGGGGAACCTGTTGAAGCATTCGTCAGAAGCTTATATGAGCTTGCACAGTACTGTGAGTTTGGAAGCACCAAAGATGAACAAATTGGGGACAGGATTGTGATCGGCATATTGGACCGAGAGGTTTCCCAAAAGTTACAGCTGGAGGCGCATCTCACACTAGAACAAGCTATTCAGATAGCACGCCAAAGCGAACAAGTTAAACAGCAGAGCGCAAGCTTACGTGTGGAACATGCTGTGGATGGAATGAGTCAAGGAAGACGGCGTTTCCACACTGAAAAGAGCAGTAATGATGCACATTGGAGGAGAAAATCGGAGCCGGGTGAGTCCAAATATCTCCCTACATGCTCTCGCTGTAATAGGCAACACGGGAAAACGCAGCCATGCCCAGCTAAGAACAAAAAGTCCCGGAAATGTAATAAAGTTGGACATTTTGAAGTAGTCTGTAAAACAAAAATGCTGAAGGAGGTCTCGCTGGCTTTTAATAACCCAGCTGAGAGGGATGACATGTTCTTTCTTGGAGCAGTAACTAATACTGAACCAGCCATAATTGAGCAGTCAAATGCAGAAAATAAGTGGCTTGTACAGTTTCCTGTAAATGGCTGCCCTGTCAGATTTAAAATTGACACAGGTGCCGACATTACAGTGATGTCTGAGGCTACATTTAACAGACTGCCAAAGAGCCCTAGATTGGTCACAGCAAAAAAAATGCCACTGGTTACCAGTCCTGGAGGTGAAGTCCATTGTGTGGGCAAGTTTCTAGCCACAAGTCAGTTCAAGGGCCAGAAATATTGTTTCTGGGTTACTGTCATAAAGGGACCCTATGCTCACAACTTGCTGGGAGGAGGTGTAGGTGGTGGGATGGGTCTGGTCAGGAGGATCAACAGCATAAATACAGACCTCCTAGGGGACGTTTTTGGAGAAATTGGTTTGCTTAATTGCGACCCTGTTAAAATAGAATTGAAAGCAGATGCAGAGCCCTACAGCCTGACTACACCACGCCGTGTCCCATTTCCTCTCCTGGCTAAGGTTGAAACAGAACTAAAGCACATGCTAAATTTGGGCATCATAGAAGAGGTTACCGAGCCTACTGATTGGTGCGCTCTCGTGGTTCCTGTTGAAAAGAAAAACAGAGATCAAGTAAGAGTATGTGTGGATCTGAAACGCTTGAACGAAGCGGTGAAACAAGAGCATTACATCTTACCAACTCTGGAAGACATCGCTCTAAAGCTGGCGGGGGCTAAAGTGTTTTCAACCTTAGATGCCTCCTGTGGATTTTGGCAGATCCCTCTAGATGCCAAGAGCAGAAAACGGACAACATTTATAACCCTTATTGGTAGATTCTGCTTCAGACGACTGCCATTTGGAATCACGTCAGCTCCAGAAATTTTTCAAAGACAGTTATCCACACTGCTAAAGGACCATGAAGGTGTCGTGGTAGTCATGGATGACATTCTCATTTATGGAAAGACTAAGGAGGAACACGACAACCACCTAAATGCTGTTCTGAAGACCATCAGGACCAGTGGATTAAAGCTGAACAAAGCAAAGTGTCATTTCAGCAAATCAGAAATTCGGTATTTCGGTCACATCATCAGTGCCAAGAGCATTAAACCGGACCCGACCAAGGTAGAAGCCATCACACGCATGCAGAGACCCACAAATGTGGAGGAGCTTCGTCAGGTTCTGGGTCTGATTAATTACGTGGGACGATTTTTACCAGATCTTTCCACCAAGTTACACCCAATCACCAGCTTGTTAAGAAGAGAGAACAAGTGGGTATGGGACGACACACAAGAACAGGCGTTCATCGCTGTTAAAGCCATGCTTGTGCCAGCCCCAGCTCTGGCATATTATGATGCAAATAAAAAGACTGTCATCAGCGCTGATGCAAGCAGTTACGGCTTAGGGGCAGCGCTATTGCAAGAACACAATGAAGTCTTAAACCAGTAGCGTTCTACTCCCGCACGCTGTCAGATGCCGTGAGAAGATACTCTGAAATCGAAAAAGAGTGCTTGGCAGGGGTATGGGCGTGTGAGTGGTTTGCACGCTATGTACAAGGAATGGACAGTTTCCTTCTGCAAACAGACCACAAACTGCTGGTACCACTTATAAACACCTATGATCTGGATAAGGCCCCTCCAAGGTGTCAGAGACTCCTGATGCGCCTTTTAAGATTCAATGTGGAAGCACAACATGTTCCGGGCAAACAGTTGGTGGTGGCAGACACACTATCCAGGAGGCCCCAGGACAACGTGAGTGATGAGACCACAGACCATATAGTACAAGCATATGTTGAGTCGATTGTAGCAAATGCTCCTTTCTCATCTCCAAGACTGTTTAAGATCCGGGACGCTACTCAGCACGATCACGAGTTGCAGCAGATTACAAGATTCATCCGGAATGGATGGCCGCCCAAAACGGCGATGAATCCATCCCTTTGTTGTTATTATTCCGCAAGAGCAAATCTCTCTGAAACGGATGGATTGGTGTTATATCAGCGGGCTGAAGTGCTTTCAGAGCTACATAAAGGACACCAAGGACTAACTCGGTGCCGGGCACG